TACGTAGTGTGAAATAAGTGAATAACAGTCAACATTTATTGAGTGTTTACTGGGTTCAGGAGCTCTTCTAAACTTTGCACATGTTTTATTTCATGTAATATAAAGAAGTAATATAATAAAAAGTATTTTTACACTGCAAATGCCTCAAGGGCAAATACATGCTACGTTCATACTGGACGCTCAGTAAGTATGTGTTGCAAGATTGACTGAAGGAGGGGATGCTTGGATCAGAACGCATGTGCCTGCCTTCCATCATAATATGATGGAAAAGCATCTGGCAGCGTTGTAGGCTCCCTGGACAACCGGTTTTGCCAGGGGGAGACGAGTGAGTATAAAAGCTTTCTGCTTCACAAATCTGCCTGAGGCTGACCCTGCAGGCTTTGGCCTTGATTTCCCACAGTTCCTGATCCCTGCCTGGATACCCGCCTTGGTGCTGGTGTCAGGACACAGTGAAGCAAGGCATCAGGTCGCCTGGGGGAGACTAGTTCCCTAACGAAGAGCCAGGGATGAGTAGGATCAGAGCCTGGGTCCTGGTCTCCGAGGCTGGTCCAGGGGGCTGCATCTTGATTTCTCTTAGAATTCAAGACTGAAAATGCCAACCGCCAGGCCACACAGCGGCCCTTTTGTATTCCACTTGAGAGACACTCGATGAACATGAATGGAATTTTTTTCCCCATGGAATGCAAGGGGAAGGGTGTGTCGCTGGTCAGAGAAGGTCAGAATTCGCTGTGGGCCGATGGATCTCAGTGCCTAATGGGAAATGCCACAAGGATGTGTTTGGGGTGGGGGTGGCGTTGTCCCTTTAATTGTGTGATTCGATTTCTGGATGGAGAGCTTTGGTTCAGGAATTCAAGGTGAAAGAAAGAGCAAAGCTGACTCAGTGGGGAGGGCGTGGCCATGCTGGACGGGGCCTTGGCTGTCCCGCTGTCACACGGAACAGACCTGCTCGGCTGGTGTCCAGCCTGGCTGGAGGAAAGGCTGCTCCACAGCCCCCTCGAGATGGGGCGAGGCTCCCAGTTCTCCCAGATCTGTTTGAACAGTGGCTTCTCCCCTGCCTTGTTCCTGAGGATTCCGCAGAAGAATGGGAGGACAGAGTGTGGAGCCGGGGCCCAGGGCTTTGCCAGCAAGCAGCTTGGCTCTCCTCCCTGCACTCCTGTCCCCAGGAACAGGTAGGCTTAGGGCGCCGGGCCCACGGCCTCCGAGCAGCGGTCTGCGGCAGCAAGTTCCACGTGCGGCTCCCGGTAACAAAGAGAAATGAGTTCTGACAAAGGGGAGAGAGTGAGAAAGAAGACAAAGGAGCCGGCCGGGGACGGAAGCAGGGCTCACCTGTCTCACCCCTGGGAGTCTCGTGATTAGGAACTAAAATTCCCAAATGGTCCATTTCCAGGCAAACCCCAGACAGATGACAGAACTTGCTGGTTCAACAAAGAGGGCTCACCCTGTGCCCCGGCTTGGAAGATGATCCTTTTCCAGACCTTGAGATCCAATCTCCCCACATACGGACAGAATCTAGTTGCATGCCCCCTGCAGCCCCCTCTGCCTACCCCCAACCCTGTTTCCAGCAGAGAGCCAGACCCTTCACAAGAGGAACTTGCAGGACAAAACCAGAAATCTTGGCAGTCAATGGCCTTGAACTCATTGAAGAAATTTCGCTAAAAGTCCTGAGGAGGGGAGAGAAAATAGGGAAGATACCTTCAGAATCCAAAGAAAGAAGCGTCTCTGTTGCCCTCACACCAACTTTCCTGACAGTAAGAAGCACCTAGAGATCTGTGAAGCCCACCTGGGCGGCACGCCAGGGGCAAAGCCTCAGAGGAGAACAGCCCCGGTGACCTTAGGAGGGCGGGGCCCAGACTGGGCCAGGAGTCCTCTGCCCCGGCTGGGTGTGGAACTTTAAGGGACCATGGCGGCTCGGACAGGGAAGAAGTCCGTGGGTGACCCCGGGGGACTAAGATTGAAGGACTGTCCTCACGTTCAGGGCACACAGGAGCCTCTCAGCTCTGCTAATCAATAATGACTAACACTAAACTGCCACTATCCCTGTAGGATAGGGATTTGCAATGGAATTTTAATTTGATTTAAATAAGTTAATGTGATATTTCTAGCACACCTCTGTTGCAGGCTGAGATTCACACTCGTTATGCGAGGAAACAGCTCTTTAGACATTGCCCCCCTCTATGTCAGACGCAATGATTCTAAGGACCTCGTAGACAGGCTGTGGCTGAGGTCGGGGACTGAGCAATGGGCCGGGGTAGGGGGAGGCGGGTCTGCTCCAGGCTCTAGAAAGCCCTCTGGAGCCAGCGTGAGGGTCTCCTTCACCCGATCCTTCGCTGTGTGGGCAGAGGACTGGAATTCTCATCGCCCTGGACAGGTTAGATGTGTGTCCCTGCTGGCTGGGACAGTGGTGCCCTCTGAGCACAGCCAGGCTGGGGGCCCAGGGTCCCCAGGGCAATCGACCATGCTGGTTGGCCCAGGACTGAGGGAATTCCCAGGATGTGGGAGTTTTGGTTTTAAAACTCGGTAAATCCTGGGGAAACTGGGACTAGTTGGTCACTCTCCTTTGCTGTCAGTTCATCAGTTTGGAGCTTCCAGGGCGTGCTCCAAAACGATCCATCTCAGACTGGAGGTTGGGATTGGGATAGGAAAATCCCTTTCCTTTTTCCGTAACCACCCAGAAAGTACTGGAATTCTATGATCCCCCTCGGGAATCCAGAAAGGGAAGAGAGTCAGGGCGGAGACGTGGCCAAGCTGTCAAGTGAGAACACATTCGAACAGACTAGACTCCGCCTCCGCTGTCACATTCCTGGTAAATCGACAGCTATTGGTTTCTCAGATCTTCTGTTTTAACCACCCCACCCTGGTCTCAATACCAGAGACCAACCAGAAGAGGAAAGACCTTCCCCCTGGTCCTCAAATGTTGGTGTTAATATCTGACCACGCCCGCAGCAGCCGTTCTGTAGAGAAGTCAGAGGCCCTGCGATCTACGTCAGCAACCTCACCGGGAGCAGCAGAGAGGGACTGCCCTACAGCCAGGGCCCCAAACTCTGTAAGCTTCGGGCTCCGCAAAGCCCGGGTCTGCCCCGGAGAGGGGGCTGCTCACCCTGCACACTTGGTAAACAGGCCCCAGGGACTCCCTGCGGGCTGCTGACTCCAGCCCTCTAAATCCCTCCTGACTGCCCAGGCCTCCCCATAAAATGGGGCCCCGGGCAAGCGTGCAGATTTGCCTGGATTCCCAAAAGAGCTTTGCTGAGATCTTGTACAAAACGTTCCCCCCGTTACCTTTTACTTTCACAGCGCCCTGTGAAGCAGCGAGGAAAGCGAAAGCTCATTAATCCACTTAATCCAGAACTGAAAGGAGGTTTAAAATTTCACCTGCAGGAAGTTGTTCCAGGATGGAGATGAAAGCATTACATAGTATAATTCGCTTCTTTGAAACTGTCCCTCCCCTCTTGGTCATCTCACAGCATGCTAGCATGTATGCCTCTCGCCTTCAATAGCTGTGTGTGTGCATCTGTGTGTCTATCTGTAAATTCACTCACTGACGGTTCTTGCACGTGACCGTGTGTCAGGTACTGGCCTAGGCACTTTAAATAGACAACATCATGTAAGTCTTCCCGTTATACCCATTTTAGAGATGGGGAAAACTGAAGCTCAGAATATATTTTGTCATGAGCTATGTTGGAGCAGAACTGAAATCTTAGGTCTGACCCTGAAGGTTGCCTCTTTGGTCTCTCTCTCTCTCTCTCTCTCTCTCTCTGTCTCTCACTCCAGAGACACATAAATATAAATGAAAAGATTTCATATGTGTATGTCATGCCACCTAATGCTGAGGGGCAAGGGTTGTACTGTATTTTTCTTTAGAGTCTCAGAATGCTGTAGATAATATTTTATAGATTTATTATTATTATTTATTTGTTTTTATTTTTTGGAGACCGAGTCTCACTCTCTCACTCTGTTGCCCCAGCTAGAGTGCAGTGGAGTCATCATAGCTCACTGCAACCTCCACCTGCTGGGCTCAAGTAATCCTCCTACTTCAGCCTCCAGAATAGCTGGGACTACAGGCATGCACCACCATGCCCCTGCTAATTTTTTCTATTTTTGTGGAGATGGGGTCTTGATTTTGCTCAGGCTGGTCTGGAACACCTGAGCTCAAGGGATCCTCCCACCTCAGCCTCCCAGAGTGCTACGATTACAGGCATGAGCCACTGTACCTGGCCTAACGTTTTATACATTTAAAAAAACAACTGAGGCCCAGAGGAGTTGACTGATGTGCATGGAGTCACACAGCAAGATAATAAAAAGTCCACTACGTCTGGAATTGCTGCCCTGGGAATTCAGCTTGCAGAGGGCTATGGGGTTGGGAGCTAGCATCAGCTCAGGCTATCAGATGAATGAATTAATGAGAGCCCAAGAATGAATGTATGTGTGAAGAGTGAGTAATTTATGGATTAGCTGATGTAAGACCATCACAATCAAGATCTGGCAACAAAAGATGTCCATGAAGCTTCTAAGTGGTATAAGTTTAATTGCTTGGTTCCCTCAAGCCAAGTCGATTGCCAGAAGGATCCTACTGACCTTTCGCCATTAACTTCTCCCCTCTTGACCCCTTTTCTTGTTGAGGGAATTCTAGGGTGGTATTTGGTATTTACTACCTCTTCAAAAGGAACCAAAGGAAAACAAAACACAATACTCTCAAAAGGGCAAAGGTATTTTTATCCCTCCCTTCCTCCCACCTCCAACACACCCCTCTAAGCATGACTCTGCTTGGAGCACGGCATTCTGTGACTCGGGTTGCTTTTTTCCCAGGGGCTCTACGGGAGCAAGCTTGAGCAGTGAGTGCACAAACGCAGTAGGAGAAGCTTGGGGGTAGGTGAGAGTTCTCTAGTGAGGTGAATGGATCGCCCGCCTAGGAACTCAGGGGCGGTGGGAGACTTACGTTAGGGTACCCTTCCCAGCCTTCCCAGCCCCCGCTGCGTGCCGCACCAAACCTCGTTGCTACTCACATCTGCCTCGTTCCACAGCCCTGGGATGCAGAAGGACTCCAGCAGGTCACTGCCACACAGCAGCAAGATCCGCAGCTCTGAGGGGGGAGCAAAGTTTGCAAAGGGAGTAAGTGGAGATCTGGGAAGCATTCGACTCTCAACCTTCTGCCCCTGACGGACACAGAAGTCCTGCACCCTTGGAGCCACGGGGCCCAGCTCTCCCAGGCATCCCCGCACCAGGGTGTACGCCGTGCAGAGACCTCTGCTCGCCTCCTCCTCTCCACCCCTGTGGGAGGAATCACTCATGCAGAGAGTGAACAGAGAGGGTGATCAGCTGTCCTGGGTTGCCTGGGACAGATCTTTCAGGGCCGAACCAGGATGGTTGGTCACCCTAACAGAGACCAAGCCAGCCACATGCCTTGTCTAAGGTCTAAGGGCCCCTCTCTTGTTCCGTACTGAGCGCAAGGGTGGACAAAGTCTGGATCCTCTGCTGTTGTGCATTATCTGGGGCTTGTCTCCCCGGCACACTGGGGGGAGTGGGGGGACCCTGAGCACACCCATGAGGTAGCTGAGTTTATCAGATGTGTCCTCTACATGGCCATGGTCCTCAGCAAAGGGCTTGAGAAGCGAGGCTGAGGCCCCCTCCCCATCCTGTCCTCTTCCTGGCACCCAGGCATACTTCCTGCTGGTCAGTTGTTTTTCTTCCCTCATTAAGCCCTCTCTGAAATGTCCCAGGGAGGCCCACTGTCATTTAAAACAGGCACCAAACTGATTTGCTTATTAAAACTGAGCAATGGAGAAAAAAAGAAGCCTGGGATTTGGAACACCATGGGGAGAGTCTTCACCCACGATGGGACTCAGGTGGTGTCTGTGTCTGGCTCCCAGGCACCCCAGCGACAATCTCCTCCCCCAAGAGGCCGAGGCTGTGGGCATCTTATCTGGAACAGCGAGAGAGCCCTGCGCTGAGCTCACACCACCAGCCTTCCAGAGACAGCTGCCGCCAAGGACCCTGAGCACGCGAGCTGTGAGAGAGGCTGCCGACAGCTCTGCCTGCCTCAGACCCCACAGCTCAGGCACCTGACGAGGACTTTCAGATGGTGAGCTGGCTCCTGCTGCGGAAGGAGGCTCCAGATGGTTCTGAGGCCGGTGGGAGGCTGTTACATTGACAATGGGCAATGTCAGCGTCTCATCTCGTCATCCCACGGTCTGGGCAGCCCCCCATCTCAAGGAGCCCCATTGAAGGCTGGGATCTTATCTACTAAATATTCCTGCAGCCTCTCTTCCCTCCTCTCTCTCATACCATAGTCTGATGATCTGTTTACGTGCAGGGACCTTAATTTATCTTTGCATCCCCAGGGTGTGGCAGAGTGACCGTCCTACGGGAGGTGCTCAGACATGTTGGATGGGTGAACCAACAGACCAGCTGACAAGAGAGGCCCTACAGGCTGCCTGAGAGCCATTAGGACAATCTGGGGATGGTCCTGGCGGTCATCGTGGCCTCTGCTCTTACAGCATGGGGACACTGGGGGGAAACGCTTGCCCGAGGCTGTGGCACCCCCTCCCCCATGTCGGACCACCAGGTTGCTGGCCCGACTCCCCAGCTGTGAAGATGGGCCAGGCAGGTAGGGCCGAGAGGAGCCAGACTGGGCCCACTCCTGGGATTCTGTGGGTCCCCATGCCCCCCTTAGTGCTCCCGGCGTTCTAGGCCATTTATCTGTTGAGAGGCCGAGGCTCTGTGACTCTGTTGCCTAAATGTTCAGTTACGTGTCATGTCCAGAGGATGTGCTGGCCCTCAGCTTTCTCCACATCAGGGGTTCTCAGCTGAGGGCAATTTTGCAATTGCTAGGGGACGTCTGGCAATATCTGGAGACATTTTGGAGTGTGAGGACCGAGGGGGAGATGGTATGCTGCTGGCATCTAGTGGGCAGAGGCCGGGAGTGCTGCTAAGCATCCAACAAGGTACAGGACAGTCCCCGCAGCACAGAATCACCTGGTCCCAAATGTCAGTAGTGCCAAGGTTGAGAAACTGCTTAGAGCTATGAAAATCTCTTTTCTATACTCAAGCCAGGGACTCACTTTCCCACTCAAGTATAAAGTGGGATTTTTTTTTTTTTTTTAACAGAAAGTTAAAGAATGGCGTCTCCTCCGCCTTTTCCTGCAGGACCAACACAGATGCATCCGCCGCAGACGGGCGGCCGGGCGGGGCCCGAGATCCCGCGCGTGGCCGCTGGAGGGCAGCAGGGACTTCCCTCGGTTTCTTGTACGTGACGCAGCCAAGTTCCCAGCCCACCAGTCCTTGGCCTGGGGCAGCCCCGGGAACACGTAAATGGGGTCACGGATGCGAATGGAGCCGGGAGAAAATGGCTTTTCCTTCTTGTGTAGTGTGAAAGGGGATTTCCAAAGGGGGACACGTGAGCCCCAGGACCTCCCAGAGCACAAGGGTCAGGAAGCAGCGTAGCTCCCTACCCCCTCCTCGGCCCCTCTCTCCCCAGGGCGCCCCGATCCAGGGCCTGGAGCCAGAGTCAGCGCGCTCCCTCCACACTCCTCTCCCAGGAATCCCGGCTATGTGCAGCCCATCCCGGCTCCCGCTGCTCCCACGGCCGGCGGTGGCCACCCAGCTCCTCTCTCTGAGCTTAGCATCCTCCGTTCCCTACCCCCACAGTCCCTTCCCGTCAGACCCTGGAAGGCTCCTTCCCTCTCAGTGACAGACGGGCTGGGGCGCTGGGCAGGCAGAGCCTCAGAGAAGCCAGAGGTGACGGGCCACCCCCCAGATCCCTTTTCGGTCCTATGGTGGCATTCTCGCCATAACCGCTGTGGAAGAGGGGGAGCAGGATGGGGCTGACGGCTCCTGCCCTACAAGGCTGCCACGAGCGGGTTCGAGCGAAAACCGGCGCGCTGTGCAGCGTGGATGGGCATCGCCCTCTGCGGGAGGGGACTGCGCGAATCGGGGCAGGGATGGCCTGATACACCGCCCTGCGCGCTGGGAAGGCAAGGCCGTAGCCGAAGCTTGGCATGATAAATTCTCTGGGACAAGCCAGGGGAGAAGAATACACTGGGATACTGTTAAAGTTCTAGAGACGGTTCTGAGCTCTGCTGGTCCAGGAGAACGCCTGGGAACAATTTATTTAACTAAGCTGTTTTAACAATTTTTAGTAACGGTTGTATTTAACAACTGGCTGACAACATTCCTGAAAATTTTACAGACGGTCCTAGCGAACTAGTATGAGCTGACTCGGGCACACCACTGCTCCTCGGATCAGAGGGCGAGACCCAGAGACGCCCCTTGAAATGATGGCACGTCTGCGGGGCCCGCTGGGAGAACCGGGTACTCGGGACAACCCCGTGCCTGCCAGGATCGTGGCAGGAGGCCTGGCCTCTAGTCCTCAGAGGAAGGAGCTCCAGGAGGGGGGTGCTTGGAATACCTTTTTGGCTGGAGGTTTTAGATTAAGTGTAGGAAAACAGCCTGTAGCATGGCAAGAGTAACACCATCTTGAAGCAAAACCGCCCTCATGACTGATGTTTGACTCTGCATACCAATGTGTTCCCCCAGCAAGGTCAAGAAACAATGCCTAGAGCACAGATCACACCCCAGGAAGATGTGTATCGAACCTCCCCAGTGGTCATGAGTTTTGCAGAAAGTCGGAGGCATGACCAGCTGCACGTGTTTCTTGCTCTATAAAGAATACTTTCCGGAGGGTGGGTGCAGGGATTCACTGTCTTATAGCCACTTGAGACATGGCTTTCTGCCTGTAAGTCCCTGTATTAAATGTTTCTTTTTGAGAAACTGGATTTGTCAGCCTCTTTCTTCAGCCTCTCAGCCCCTCCGGCCTTTGGAGGTAGGTTTGCAAGGACCTGCTCACTGCGGAACGTGGAGCGTGTCTGAGGGACACCAGTCTGCCTCTCATCCTAGAGATCGGATCATTCCTGTTGTCACTGATCCTTCTTATCCCCTGGTACCTATGCCAGTTACAGCTCTATGCTGGTATCTCTTTGCCCTTTCCAGAGCTTTCGACACTTGGGTCTCCCACTTGTGTCTCTCATCCATTCTGGAACCCTGAAAAGATTTCAGTTCTCTGATTTGCCTCTCAGCTTGCTTCTAGGGCTGTCAGCTCCTTCCCACCCTTACAGCGGTGTAACCGCCGTCCACCCTCTCTGGCTCCCTCTGAGTAGACACTGCTGCAAACCACAGCCCAGGGTTTTCCAGCCTCTTCCCTCCCCCATGTTGCCTGTGTTGGAGGCAAGGGCTCCAAATGTCCCCGCTTTCGCAGTCCCACTCACCGATCTCCTCGTACCGCATCACCGTGCCCAGATTGGCGTTCTCATCTGAGGAGGAAAGAGGGAAGGCAGAAGCATTAGGGAGCTGGCTTCCTGGTGCCCAACGTGCGCTCTGCCCAAGGGCCTCCTCGGCGGGAGGGCTGGGAGGGGGTGGGGGGGTGGATGTGGGGGGATGCGTGCCTCCCCGCACAGGTGACATCTGAAGAGAGTGAATGGAGAGCACAGTTCAGCATTAAATGGAGAGGGAGCATCTTTTCCCGGTCCAGGAGCAGGACGTCACATTTCTGGGACTTTCAGAATCAGACAGCCTCGCTGGGGAACCGAGGACGAACACATGCACACTCATGCCGAGTGCCTTCTGTTTCTCTGTCTCAGGGAGGCTGCCCGCAAGAGCAACATCCTCGAAGCCTAGGGAGATGGCTTTTGGAGTCACGGGAGGTGGCCCTCTCTCCTTAGGGGTTACCTGGTTTAAAGAACAAGCAAAACTGGGGATGCTGAGATTTTTCATGTGGCAGGATGTAGCAAGAGCCTACAGTAAGATGTGAAAGGCAGAGCTTCTGACCTGCTCCCCAGTGTGCGGTACCTATATGGGGGTGCACAGACGTGTGCACACACACAAAACCACGGAGATGCTGTCTAGTCCCCTGCCTCTCTCCTCCTCCGCCACCCCTCTCAGTTCCTTTCCAGGATGCCTGAAATCGGAAATCTCAGAAACGGCAGAAGTCATTTGTCCAGAGAGTAAAAGGAGTGAGGTCTAGGCCTTCAGCTCTTGGACTGAATTTGGGGTTTGCAGGAGAATGTGCCCCAGGGACTCTGCTCTTCTCATCCACGCTGCGTCCTTGCGGGAGCAGCCAAGAACCCAGGGAATGGAGGAAAGGGCCCTGCCGCTGGGCCGGAGCACAAACACCGCCGAGCTGGGGCGACGGGAGGAGGGTTATGGGCACAGCCTGGGGAGGGGAGACGAAGCAGGAGGGGGTACCTCCGGGCTCTCGTGTCACTGGCATTGTAGGCCTGGTGACACTCCTGTTTACCTCTGGTCCCAATCACTGCCCTGTATGTGGTCATCCCATAATAGGCCGTCCTGGTCCATGTGGGAGGCCGTAACAAAATGCCACAGACTGGGTGACTCATAAACAACAGAAATTTATTTCTCAAGGTTCTGGAGGCTGGAAGTCCAAGATCAAGGCACTGGCGGATTTGGTGTTTGGTGAGGGCCTGTTTCCTGGTTCATAATGGCTTCTTCCAGCTGTGGAAGGGACTGGCCTCCTCCCTTTTACAAGGGGTCTAATCCCATTCAGGGGGGCTCCCCCCTCGTGACCTGGTCCCCTCCAAAAGGCCCCATCTCCTCACACTTTCACCTTGGGCATTAGGATTTTAACATATGAATTGGGGGACAAACATTTAGACCATAGCCCTGGGCTTGGGGGTGTTTGCTGAATGAGCGAAGGGAGGAGGGAACGAAAAGAGACAGGACCGGGGAAGGGCCCACTCCCTTACCCACGAAGGTGAAGCGCTCCACGGGCGGGCGCACACAGCAGATCCGGCTGAGGCTTTCTCCCACCTTTCCCAAGATCTTGGCTATGGGAGAGAGCAAGACAGACAGGGACAGGGGCAGAGAACCACTCACAACTTACATGCCGTAAACAACAGGGCGCACTGCGGGGGCAGGGGCTGGGGAGTGGGAGGCAGAGGGGGGTGGAGAGAAAGAACAGAAATATGACAGCAAAGATTGCTTCTTCTCACTCACAGTCCAGGGCACCAGTATGGTGAGCCACAGACTAGAAGCCATTTTCTGGTCATGTTTATTACATTGTTGAAAAAATTGGAAAATACAGAAGAAGAAAATATAAAGAAGAAAATGAAAAAAACAACCATAGTCTCACCCCTAGAAGGTGATTGCTGCTAACATAGTGGTATATTAATTATTTTTCTTTCGTTTTTTAAATGTGTATTGTGCAGGTATGTTTTCTATTTGTAAATGGGAAGATAACATCTATATCATAGAACGACTGCATTAAATAAGAACACAGGTAAAGCATCGAGCACATCCAGGCACACCATCCCAGGTGTTGGGTAGGTGTTGGTGGCCCCTGTTCTCTGTCGGTGTGGAGGTGGCTACGGGTGTGGGAATTCTGGGTACAGCCCGCAAGGCTGTGACTCATGGCCATGCTATTCCTCACGCTGAGACCTTGGGCAAGATCCCCAACCTCCCTGGAAGAGGCAGAGAAAAACGCTCCATTTTGCATATTTAATTCCCAATGAAGGCAATATTATATTTATATTTGAATAAGGAGAAGAGAGCACACTACTCCCCACCTGTCTCTCTCTCCCCACCCTCTCTCTTTCTCACTGCGATTGCGACCATGTTGCTCTGATGCTCTGAACTAAGGGTTATCAAAGTACGATCCCTGGACCAGCAGCATCAGCATCTCTTTATTGCAAATACAAATCCTCCTCACCCTCCCAGACCTCCTGAATCGAATTCCAGGGTGGGTCCCAGCAATCAGTATTTGAACAAGCCCTCCAGATGATTCTGAAGTTTGAGAATCACTGTGCCAACATCCCCCTACCTGCCGTGGGCTTGGTGGGCACGTTGTTGTTCTGGTAGATGGGCTGCGGGGTCTCATGTTGTGGCTGTCCAATCACAGGTGTCATGGAAGGTGTGTTGACGTTGGAGAGGATACAGCCAGTCACCCTCTAGGGAGAGAGAGAAGTGCTAAGTCAGCGTCATTAGTGAAGTGACTTTGAAAAGCGTTTCCCATTTTTCTCTAGTCATCTGCTTGTCCATGACGGTGAGGCCACCTTGAGCTGAGGTGGGTTTTAGACCCAGCTGCACCACGTGGTCACCAGGCTGGCAGGAGACCCAGTAGCTCAGGCGTGGGACGTGGCGCTACACTGGGTCCTGAGTCTAAACTCAGGCTCTGCCTCCTTCTAGCTATGTGACCTCAGGTAATCACTTAATCTCTTCCGAACCTCAGCTCATGAGTCTAACGATATATACCTGCCTTTTCGATTGTGTTAGACTGCACAGGCGAGCATATGCAAAGTGCTACAGAGCTCCTGACGCATGACAGGAATGTAGCAAACAGCAGCCAATGTTGTAACCTTCTGAGTAACACGAATCTCTACCCTCCCTGCCCGGTTCATGGGGCTCGAGTGAGATCATGTCTGCAAAAGGGCTCTGTAAGTTCGGGAAAGGTCATACACACAGGGGGCTCTATCACCGCCTGTAGCTTCCTCGGGCCAGTACACAGCCGAGCCAGAGGGCAGGGCCAGGCAGAGCAGGACGGGTCTGTGCTGCAGGAAGCGGGTGGGTGGGCTCTGAGCGCTCTCTCGCCTGCTCAGGGTGAACACACATTCCAGAGCCAAGCGGAAACTCTGTGTGTGTTATCCATTGTCCTGCGTTATCTGCCCCAGCCCTTCTCTCCAGGACTACAGAAAACACAGCACTGATAAGGCCACATTCTTCCCAGCTGACCCAGAGGCGGCCCCACTAGCCTGAGGTGACTGGGAGAGTGGGGACTGGGCCACAGAGAAACAAAGGACAAATTTCCAACCTGCTTAGCTTCACAAGGGCCACTGCTTATTCAACGTTCTTTTCCCGAAAGCCAGCGTCTCGGGAGTGATGGGACAGTACTCGTCACCCACTCCTGCCCCCGACCCTTTCCGGATTAGAGTCTTGCTCAGAGGACCCCCAACTCCAGGGCTGGGTGACCGTCTGGGCACCTCATCCACAGACAACCCTGTGAGCAGAACAGCAGCGAGTTCTTCTGAGCCCCAGAAGGGCAGGCATTTGTCCTGCGGGGCAACCTGTCACCTTTGCAATGTTCCTGGTGGGAGGAGGGCACAGCAGCAGCAGCCACATCTGGGGGCCACGGGACGGGCACCATGGGACCTTCTCCACCTGCTCTGTGGGCTGCTCTGCCCGGCCGCGCTACTGGGGCGGAAGGGGGAGTCTGCCGCCTCTTATTGTTATTTCACCACCAGAAAAGAAAACACCACGTTCCCCTTTAACGACTGGGCAGTGGCTGAAGAATTTCTTCCACCTGCAGCCTTGTAAGTCCCATTCCACTTGTACCAGCCCAGAGAAGAAATGGCTGGCTGCGCACCAGCTCCTGCCCTCATCGGTCCCCATAGGCTCCCGTCTTCTCAGAGGCCTTCCCCTACGTTGCCCTGAGTCACCTATTAAGTCACACGTCTATCTCCATGCCAGGAACGCTGGCCTCGCGCTAGGACGGGGAAGGCTGGGAGTTACTAGGAAGCAGCTTCGAGCTCTCTCCAAGGCAGGGGCTATCCGTGACCTACCTTCTCTGCCCACCTCTGCCACCACTGCAGCAGCTGGGGCTCCCGGCTGAGCTTCTCTGGCCCAGACTCACGCCCAGGGCATGAGCGACAGAGGAAGAGTTCAGGGAGCACAGACATTTCGACAGCAAACCACAGCTGGGCTTTACGGCCAGTATGGCCTGTGCTCGGGGATGCCTGCAGGGATCAGGTTCCTCCCTTCCGCCATGGAGCCTGAGACTTCTGTGTCACTACAAGGACCACAGGCCCCCAGGTGACCCCCCCAGGTGACGTGATGTGTAGCCTGAGAAATAAACCCCTGTGAAGCCACTGAAACTTGGGGGATGCTTGTCCCACGGCATATCCTGGCCTGTTCTGACTGGTACACCCTTCTACGGTAAGACAGGTGTTTCTTGTTGTGGCTGTTGTGGAGAGCAGCGCGCGGGAGGAAGTCAGTGTGACCCCATGTCAGAGTCCTTTCAGGGGGACCAGGAGAGTCAGGATGTGTAAGAAGCGTTCTGAAAGCCAAGGGAAGGGATATGCTTTCTTCAAATCCACAGGGGAAAAACTTAACAGATTAAGTGTGGCAACAGCCAGCTGGTCCCTTCCACCTCTCTTGCCCTTGACGCCCCAGGAGGGTCTGGAGCCTGAAGCTCACATCTGTTCAGGGGAAGCCCGGCTGTGTGGCTGGTGGAGCGTGGGGTGGTCGGGGGCTGCTCCCCGAGGAGATCATGACAGGCCCTCAACAGCAAGGACACAGACGGGGGAGGGTCTCCCCGTGCACAGCGACGCCAAGCTGGTTGGCACTGGGGCCTGGGAGGGCTCTGCAGCAGTTGTGGGGGTGAGCAGGACTCACTGCTGTCTGGTCGGTCGGGCTTCTTGCATTGGCGGCTCTGCTTTTTGCGCTGTCACTGCGGGAGCTGACGGCTGGTATTGATCCGGGAAGGGCAGAGCTCTGCATGCTCTGGCAGTGCCGCGGCTGGCGTGGAGCCTGCTACGACCCGGCAAACAGCCCACCGCAGGCCCCGCGCTCCCGTGGGGAGCTCAGGCGGTCTCCCCACCTGTGCCACGAGGCCCTGACCGTGCGTCCTCAGGTTTGTGGGCTCCTTTCTACCCAACAAAAACAGGGCTCTGCCACCATCTGCCCGTGGGGCTCTTGCGATGAGTAATGAATGGGAATGAGGGTGCGATGCCTGGCAGGCGTGAAGTGTCCCAGCCCCAGCTGCAGCAGCCTGTCCTGGAGCTAGGGGACCAGGCGGTCCCCAACAGGTGGGGCAGGAGGCCTGGCTGCTTACACCTCCTCCGAGTGCTCCTCCCTGTCCTGCCTTTCTTTTCCCCGTCTCTACTTCCTCTCACTTTCCAAAGTCCTGCAACTGTGCTCTCCGTCATCCCACCTTGAACTTGCTCCCAGCGGGGAAAGCTGTCTGAGTCCCACCCAGCAGCTGTGCCCTAACGGGAAGCCAAGTTCAAGGGTGGGAGGTGGGGGCAGCTCCAGCTTCCTAATTCACGGCCCTCCTTTGTGCCGTTCATGGGCTGGTCTCTCCCACAGCTGGCAGAGAAAGAGCAGGCTGGGCCCGGGCGGAAGGCCAGCAGCACCCTCTCGCCACCCTGCCGGGCTTCTGCGGGCTCAGCCCCTCCCCTGCACCCTAGCGGTTCACTCTCCCCTCAGCCACACGGCCCAGCTCACCTTCATGAGGTCCCGATGGTGTTCCAACACACTGCAGGTCGTCTGCCAGGTGTCCTGGTAGCACTCCCAGGGGTCCACCCTAACATCATCAGAGAGAAGTTTCCCTTGGTTTCCATTCCCATGCTCCTTCCTTACTGTCTCCTGCATAAGACCGTAGCCCAGGGAGCTTGGCAGACCTGGCCGTTCCCTGAGCTGAGATCACAAATCAGATAAAACCCCGGGCATGGAACGCTTTTCTGAGCCTCAATCTCCTCCTCTTCGAAATGAGAGGAACATGCGTGCATTTATAAGGACAGATGCTGGTGCCAGTCTGCCTGGGTTTAATCCCAGCCCCAGCGCTTTCCAGTTGTGTGACTTTGGGAAAGTTACACGACTTCTCAGTGCCTCAGTTCCCCGTGTGTAAAATGTGAACAACAGCAGTGACTATCTTATGGTTTTGTTAGAAAGGCTCCGTAGGTTTTACACGTATAGTGATTAGGACAGTGTCTTGCTCTTATTCTTACCAGCGAATAGAAATTCTCCTCTGGGCGCTCTAGGATTGCGACAAGGATTAAATGAGCCAGGGGCTGAGGTTGTCCCTGCCAGGTTGCCAGCCCTGGAGAATCAGCCCTGTCTGCCTCCCTGTGCGTGGGGTGCCTTGTGGGCGTGGCGGCCAGGCGTGCAGACGAGCCCACACACTGGCCAGCTCCCCCGCCGCACACTCGGCCTCAAACTGAGCAAGGATCCCTCCCCAGACTGATGCAGCATTTGGGCTTAATTGTCGTTTAATGAGCTGCTAAATCGGGATATTTCTCAAATATTTTCTTAGCAGTCAAGCATTCCCTATCTACCTCCCCCCTCCCCGCCCCAACACACGCATACATACACCTAAGGTTCCCAGAGATGAGATCTCACTAGCTGAAAACTACCTTAGACAGTCAGCTTGCTCTGAGCTGGCTCCTCCCAAATCCCTGACCGCCCCCTCCCCGCCCCAGGTGTGCACATGTACCTAGAGACGCAGACACTTGACCTGGCTAAAGCAGATCCCCGTGCTGGGGGCCCTGCCACAGCCGACCCCATCTCTGGTGCGAGCTCTTAGACATCCCCAGTGATCTCACTTCTGAGAATTATGATTTTCCAAGTGCTTAGAACAGCACGGGGCGGGTGGCGGGCACTCAGTAAATATTTGTTGAATGAATGAGGGAGTTATTCTAGAATCTTCTAAGCACATCCAAGCAGTAACAGCCTCCTGCTCAGTGATTTTCCCCACTGGACCCCACTTTCCCCAGGCGATCGGGAGTCACAACATTAAGTGGCCTCGTTTTCATCCTGACTCGACCACCCACATACCGTTGCTCAAAGCCCTCGACTTCTCCAGGCCTGTTTCTCACCTAAGAAAAAGCGGCTGTCTCTCTACCTAACCTTTGTCTTGAGGAGGGTGAGGAGGTCTGTAAAGGGCATGTGCTTCTCACACACATCACCGCACACAAATGGCACGGAGCCCTGTTTGATTACTATCGTCCCTTCCCTCCCCCTCCCTTCCCCACTCCCACCCCCGCCACCCTGTCTCTTCCGGGCCTGACTCTCTGTGTCCCTCATTCTGAGGTCAGCTTCCCAACACTTCTCCCCTTTCATGGAAGCCTCTAGGTGCTGCTTATTTTTCCACAGGGAGAAATTACAGCACAAATGGTGTGCCATTATTTTTTCAAAACATCATCTTCTAATGCAAATTATAATGGTAGGAACTTTGGGGAGCATAATTAGCATAATTAGCGGAAGCTTGCTTTAATTACACTGCAAGCTCAGCTGATGGTGGGGGGTGGGGGGGCTGCCATCTTAGCTGCACTTTCTGACCAGAAAGGCAGTGAGCAGGAGAGGGACCCGCTGGGTAAGACTTTGGCTGCTGAAAAGGGTAGGGCTTCCAGGCCCCACGCTGTGCCGCTGTCCGGAGTCCGTGTGGGGCCCTCAGAGAGCCTGAGCTTGGGGAACGGAAAATTGCTGAGGCCCGGGGACATTCCCTGAAGGGTAGTGAAGGTTAATGGACGTTAGTGGGAATGAGAGTGGGAGGCATTCCAGATTTTCTGGCCATGCCTCATCCAAAACCCAGTGATGTTTCTGGAAGCTCTAAGGATCACTCCAGGACCCAAAGGTGCCAAAGCAGATGAAACACTTAAAGCTCCTTCTTTAATATCATGGGCCCCATAGTTTGGTTCAAAAATAAAGTTATCAGTTGGGCCACCCCTGGAGGTCTACCTAATTATTGCTCACACTGGGAGAACATTCCCCCCAAACTTTTTGAGGTCCAAATCACTGTTGGGACTCTTCTTCTGCCCACCTCGCCAACCCCCCACCCCCACTGCGCCATGAGTCCCAGGACCACCTGTCCCGGGTGTCACCAGGCCAGCCCTACCTGATCCAATCGGAATTCTGGACCGCCAGCTGACACATGATGAGACGGTGCCGGCTCGACACCAGGCCCTGGGAAGTGACAGAGCAATCATTGGGAGACTCCCTCTGTTCCCCTCAAGCCCCAGAACACCATCCCAAGCCAGCCCAATAGAAAAGTGCAGCCAGTTTTCTGTGGTGGGAGGGAATGAGGGATGTGACCCCTTCGCTTGTCCATCTGCCACACAGACCGGCGTGGAGTGACAGAGGGAGAGCAAAAGCACGGAGGGTGTGCAGCGTGCACCACCCCAACGGGGTCGACAGATGAGCCTCCATCTAGGAAGCAGCCCGTGTGCCCTGCACAGAGATGAGACTTAACTCAGCAAATGTTGCCTTGTCTTATGGCTCAGTCTGGCTGGTTAGGTGACTTCCCCGGGGGCCCACCAACTTGCATCTGTGGGAGAAAGGGGGAATGTCTGGTAGAACTCCTAGATTTCCCGGGACCTGTGGCAGGGAGGGAGGGGCAGGGAAATGAATTTTAAATTAGATTATAAGAGGCATAGGCCATTTTCTCCTAAAATCCCCAGAAACACTTGCCCAGTGCAGCTCAACCCATAGCCAGCCGCCAATCTGGCGTCCATCAGACCAAGCCGGATGGAGTGGGCGTGCCTGCTCCTGTCAATGAGTTCCGACCAGCCTGGCGCTGTGAGCAGTGGGTTCACCCAGCTGCTGCTCCAGCACCCACCCACTCAGGTCTGACTGTGGTCCTGAGATGGGAGGCAGGACGGACGCCTGATCAAGGGCATTTTGTCTTTCCAGGAATCTTAGCAGAGAGGGCAGTGGGGCAATTTTACGCTGGAGGAGCTCTCAGGCCAGGGAGGGGGTGAAGGAGGAGAGGGGCGAAGGAAGGAACCCACCTGTTTTCCGTAGGAGTCGTGGACAGGGGAGACAATCCCACCAATCACAATAAACCTTCCAGTCTTGTGCAGATAATCTCTGGCTCTTTCTGATGAAGAGAAGAAACCCACACATTATAAAGAGGGAAAGTGTGGATTAAAGGTGATAATTGAAATCAATATGTTCAGCTCTGTAATGCTAAGGTTTATTTCCCATCTTTCTTGCCATTTAAATAGAAAGTGTCAACTTTCAAAGCGAACATTGGTGATTCAAAAGGCTAAGGAACCAGATTTCAGCACGAAAGGATTTAGAACTCAGGGGGATTAATCCCGTTTTAAAGGTCCTCTGTGGGTCCTTTCTGTAGCTCAGAGGCGTTTAAAACAAGCACCTCATTAGCAGCCATTAGAGGTACAGATTGGAATTTACCCCTATTGTCACTTGCAGAAATTCCAATGAGGAGGAATGTTTTGTTTTTTTTAAAAAAAAAGACTCCTTATAATATGAAAGATGTGCTGATTGCTTCCCCTAATTATTCAGGAGAGAAAAACCACCCAAACAAATTTAAAGGGCTGTGCGCATAATTATGGAGAATTGGCAATCAACACAGAAGACCACCAACATTACAGCTGGTTGAGAAAAAACTTTGACTACAGAAAAACCTTTTTTCCTTTTGGAAGAAAAGCGATGTTGCTTTTCCAAATGTATCAGACAAGCCCAATTTCATTATCGTGATAAAGTTCAGCACACTAGGAAGGGGCTGAAAAGTCTACTTCTATCTTCCTTCCTAAGGCAGGTGTGGGGAACCTGCGGCCTTAAGGCCACATGTGACCTTCTAGGTCCTTAAGTTGGGCCTTTTGATTGAATCCAAATTTTACAGAACAAATCCTTTTAATTCTATTTACACATTTTTGTTCATCTTTTATATTTTTATTTTATTTTGTAAATGAACATATTTAAAATACCAAAGAATAAAATAAGTTTCAACAAAATAATCCTCCCAGATTGACTGGCACCATTAGAACATTTGTAAGCCATAAGGGCTAAATTGATGTTGCTGCATAGTTCATGATTTAGTTCTAACGTCCCCTGCCGGACTAGCGCCACTACAGCACGAGGCTGGTTGGTGAGAGTTTATGGGGGTCGAGTATGCCAGTCTGTTACCAGCCTTTGACAACGGTGCACTGTGTTTCTCTTTGAAGTGGAATTTGTGAATAGTTGCACCGCTTGACAATGTATTGAATTCTGTCTGCTTAACAGCCCATCCTGTTAAAGAAGACCAGAGAAAACTGAAGAAAATAGATTTTTAAATGAGGATTGGGAATTGAAATATTATCTTGTTTCTGCTAAAGATAAAATGATTTGCTTGCTTTGTGATGCTGCAATGTCAACATTAAAGAAATTCAATGCTCATCAGCATTTTAACACTCATAACGACCACAAATATTTTAAACTAGAGGGAGGGGCATGAAAGGTTGTATTGCAGAAATTAAAAGATGAAAAGCAAAAGCAAAGACAATTCTTTCAAGAAGCAATAAGACCTGGAAATAATGCCACTGAAGCAACTTACAAAGTAGCTTATATACTGGGAAAAAAGGAAGCCATTCAGTGATGTAGAAATTGTGAAAGAATGCATTGTTGGAGTTGTAGGAAGTGCAAGCAACTGCCTCTTTCAAGGAGAAGCATAACTGACTGGCAGCATGAATTAGCCTTCAACTTCACAGAACAACTTCATGCAATACTTCAAAAGGAAAATAAATATTATTCAATCACTTTGGATAAATCAGCTGATACTACTGACTCAATGCAGGTTTTACACTTCATTCAGGTCATAACAGAAGATTTTCTTCGCTACAAAGAGTTGCTCACTTTGGGCACTCTTGGGAACAGAACACGGGATAGATATGTTCAACAACTTTCAAGATAAATGTGAAGTAGGACTGAATTTGGCAAATTTAGTGAGTGTGTGTGTACAGATGGTGCACCTTCCATGACAGGAAAACATGAAGGGTTTATTGCACAGATAAAAAAAGTACTCAGATCCAGATGTTCTCATTTCTTTTCATCGTGTCTTGCATCAGCAAAATCTCTATGCTAAAGCTACTATTTTAAGTGACACCTTGCAACAAGTTGTGAGTACTGTTAACTATATTCATGCAAATGCAACATGACAGCAACAGTTTTGTAACATGCTAAAGTTGAAGGATGAGGTATTCAGTGTGGATATGCCGTATCAGCCTGAAGTGTGTTGACCATCGCAGGGACAGGTGTTGGCCAAAATTTTATCTCTGCGAGAACAAATAGTTAAATGTTATGAAGAACAGCAATGTGAATTATTGAAAGAAGATCTCTATAGAATGCAGTATTTCTGTGTGATATGTCAAATCAAAATTACTTGAATATTTCTTTGCAAGGTAAAACTAAATCTATATATTATATGTGGCCAAAAAATCCAAGCATTTCAAAAAACTATTAATATCTCTTTTCGAAACACTTCTTCAAAAGGAAATTTTGGGTGAACATTTTCCCCAGTTAGCAAAGGTCACTGATGAACAGGATGATATATGTGAATCATTTGAAGAATACACAGCTGTTATAGACTATTAATTGGAGAATACAGCGAACGTTCACTGACTTTGAGAATCATGAAATCACACTAAAATTTGCATTTTAGCCTCACCTAGTTGATATCACCAAGGCACCTAAAGAACTACAGATGGAATTGATTGCACTCTCAGTAGATGACATTTTATTTTTTATTTTTTTGAGACAGAGTCTCGCTCCGTTGCCCAGGCTAGAGTGCAGTGGCATCAGCCCAGCTCACAGCAACCTCAAACTCCTGGGCTCAAACAATCCTCCTGCCTCAGCCTCCTGAGTAGCTGGGACTACAGGCATTCGCCACCACGCATGGCTAATTTTTTTTTTCTACTTTTAGTCGCCCAGCTAATTTCTTTCTATTTTTAGTAGAGACAGTGTCTTGCTCTTGCTGAGGCTGGTCTCGAACTCCTGACCTCAAATGATCCTCTCCTCTTGGCCTCCCAGAATGCTAGGATTACAGGCGTGAGTCACCACACCCTGCCAGTAGATGAGTTTGAAGTCATCGTTTGATGCTAGAACGATCCAATTGAAATACAAAAAAATGCAGTAGAATACTCACACCTTTAGGCCACATGCCTAAAAAATGTTTTCTTGCTTTTCAACCACTTATTGCTGTGAATCTACATTCTCCCACCTAACCCAAATCAAGATGCCCTTGAAGTCACAAATGGCTAATACTTATGTAGATGATCAACTGAAACTGTGGACCTCCATGCTGCAACCAATGTTCACATGCTTTCCAACAAAAAGCAGACACAGAACATTAGTTAACTTTAAAATTAAGAAATAGTTTTCATTTTTTGGAATTACCATGTACACAGTAGTTAGATTTTTACAAAATAATGTACATTTTTAAGTATACCTAATAGATGTTTCTTGAATATGGCGCTATTTGATTACAGCTAAATTAATGCAGCCTTCCAACATGAACCCCGCCCCCCCCGCCGTCCCAGGGGGTTCATTGTACAAACCCAACAGGGGCTGAGCTTGTCCTGAAGAGGAAATTTGCCATGGATTTTACAGTGAGGGAATCTGTAAGTCAACAAAAGCCTAAGCAGCAAGGCTGGTTGTATAGTTCACAAGCAAGTTTCCAGGATTAATTTGCTAGCTCTCTTAACACTTAGAATTCTCACCACACTTGCTGCTTTTTTTTTTTTTTCAATGTGAAATCTCTTAGATTTAAAAAAATTAATAGGCTAATTTTAGCACTGTTTTAGATTTATAGAATAGTTGAACAGATTGTACATGGAGTTCCATATACTCAGCTTCTCCCCCACGCACATTTTTACCCCCCCCAACACGCAGTTTCCCCCATTATATTAATAATCTTGCACAAGTATGGCACATTTGTTACAGTTGATGATCAATACTAACACATGATTAATAATAGTCCACAGTTTACATTAAGACTCACTCTTTGTGCTGTACACTTCTATGGATTTTGACAAATGTGTGACATGAATCCATCATTATAGTTCACTGCCCTAAAAATCCACTATCCTCTGCCCATTCATCCCTCCGCTTCCTCCCAACCCCTGCCAACTACTGATCTTTTTACTATTTCTGTAGATTTGCCTTTTCCAAAATGCCATATAGTTGGAATCGTACTAGTATGTAGCCTCTTCCAACTGGCTTCTTTCATTAAGTGGTATGCATTTAAAGTTCCTCGTATTTTACATGGACTGACAGCTCATTTCTTTTTATCACTGAATAATATTCCACTGTCTGGAAGTATTTCAGTTCGTTTATGCATTCATCTACTGAGGGACATCTTGGTTGCATCCAGTTTTTAGTGATTATAAATAAAGATGATATAACATTCATATGCAGGTTTTGTGTAGACGTAAATTTTCAATTCAGTTCAGTAAATACCTAGGAGCCATATGGATTGTACGGTAAGAATATGTTTAGCTTTGTAAGAAACTGACAAACTGTCTTCCAAAGTGGCCGTGCCAGTTGGCATTCCCACCAGCAGGGAATGAGAGTTCCTGCTGCTCCAAATCCTCGCCAGCATTTGAGTCTGGGGATTTTAGCCATTCTAATAGGTGTGTCACGTTTGCTTTTTAAAAGAGTAATATTACGTTGCTTGTTTTCAAGTCTTATTTGGGGACCAAGTTAAAGGCCTTGTAGCAAAACTCATCTGATATTTGGATAAACTCCACAGCCCCTCTTCCCTTCTCGTGGCCCTTCACACCCCAGTCTTCCTCAGGAGCATTTACATCTGGCCCTTGGCTGTCACGGACTCTCTGCTGCAGTGAGCCAGGCCTCCCTTACTCCCCTTGTCCTCCAAAAAGTACCTTCTCCTTACTCTCCACTTACCCGAGCACTGCATCCAAAGCCCAGCTCTGCCTCACGTCCCACATGCCTGCCCTGCCTGACATTCTCCACCTCTGGCCTTATTGCCCTGCATCCAGTCCAAGGGACCCGAAAACTGTTTCTGGAAGTTTATGTCCCAACTCCTCTTCTGTACTGTGGGTTCTTCAAAGGCAGGGCCTTTGCCGTAGATAAGAGGTC